GCGGTCTGTTTATCTCGGTGAAGCGGTAAATATTATACCAAAGAAATTTGGTGAGCTGACAAACTTGAGGAAAATACTGAACTTTCCAGCCAACATGGATGGTGGTGCAAATGGTTGGTGTACTTTGGAAGAGCTAGGTCCTCTTTCTCAGCTTAGGGATCTTTCACTGAAGGGATTGGAGAATGTACATCCCAGCTCCTTAGCTGCAAAGGCCATGCTACGTAGCAAGAAGCACCTTGGCCGCTTGGCCTTGAAGTGCAGCAGTATAATAGAAGATGACGGCGGGTCAGTCAAAAGAGTTGTGACAGAGGAGGAGGAGCGGCACATTGAGGAGGTATTTACTGAGCTTTGTCCTCCAGGTTGCATAAATCATTTGACCATTGATGGATATTTTGGGCGTCGACTTCCAGAATGGGTTATGTCAATGACAGGAGTGTCTCTGGAGAGGCTGCGGATTTTGGAACTGTTGAATCTTGCTCTTTGTACCCAGCTCCCCAATGGCTTGTGTCAGCTTCCCTGTTTAGAGATATTGATTGTTCTTCATGCTCCAGCCATCAAGCATGTTGGCCCAGAATTGATGAGCCACACCCACAAGCACAATAATAAGCGCCATTCCCGTGTGTCGGTATCATTCCCAAGTTTGAAAAAATTGATCTTCATCGAAATGGTTCGCTGGGAGGAGTGGGAGTGGGAGTGCGAGGAGCTGCTTGAAGCCATGCCAGTCTTGTTGGAACTCACACTCGACAACTGCAGATCACTGACACGACTTCCACCTGGACTTTCCTACCATGCAAGGGCGCTCAAGATGTTGAATCTGAGCGATGTTCATTGGCTTTCCTACCTGGAAAACCTTCCTTGTGTCGTTGAACTTAGCCTGAAGTGCTGCCACAGTCTAAAGAGAATCACCAACCTCCCAAGTTTGCAGAAGCTTGTCATCAGTTGCTGCTCGCGACTGTCTGTCTTAGAGGCTGTCCCAGCACTTAGATACCTTAATCTGCAGAGTTCCAGCATGAGAATACTCCCAAGATACCTGCGGGGTCTCAACCTCACCCGTTTGTACCTGTGCTGTGACCTACCGCTGCTCTGTTCAATGGCTTTGGGAAAATCCACCTACGACTGGAATAAGTTCTGCCATATCCGTCGTGTGGAGGCCCATACCCATAATGGTCCAAATGGAATTTTCACAGTCACGTATACAAGGGATCCTCGCTACCTGGAGACCAATATCAGCAGCGCCCTCTTCAATCTGCTGTGGTAATATATATATGTTACTTCTCTTTCAATATAAAATATATGGTTTTCCTTACTTTCGCTTGCTTATTTGTTCCGTGACTGTGAACGAGCTGCAATCAACAGCAGCCAGCAGCAGCCTGGTTTGGTCAATTTGAAACATTAATCCTTCTCATTTCACTGCGCAGACGGAGGTGGCTACGGACGCTTTGCAAGTGATGGAAGTGGAATCTTGGTTGACGATGGAATCAATATCATATATAGGAGCGTATCCGGCCCATCCTACGTTTAAATCCATTCGAAGATTATTAAAAGATACTGTGTATAAGGGGTTTCTATTTTGACCATGTTACCGAATGGTTCTCGCCGTCCTCAACTGCGTGACCGTTTGATACAGACTTGTAACAGTGCTACACCTCGTTGGACTCGGATCTCATAAACTGCATCTGTATGCCGTGGAGTGTGTTTAGTACAACTCCTCGAGAAATGATTCTGTTGCTGAAGGCTATACATAATACTGTATGATAAACTTGTATAAATTGAGCTTTGCTACAGTGGTTTGGGAAAGTACTTGTAGAAAATTTTGAAGTCCTTAGATGATGATGATCTGTACAAGCGTTGTTGACATCAAAATTGAAGGTGCTACAAATGACTTTACCATATACTTTGATGTCAACAACTGATATTCTTGAGTTCGTTATGACTGCGGATTGCTATCTAATGTTTTAGTTGCCTATTGAATCCTTTTGACTATACCTGTGACCATAGCCTCAGCTGAAAGAAATTTCTTCAAATTTGAAAAAAATATTTAAGGTCAACTATGTCACAAGAAAGATCGAATCACCTGGCTATGTGCTACATTGAAAAGAATGTCTTGGACACTATTGATCTCAACACCATCCTTGATGATTTTATTTGGAAGTTTAAGGTAATCATATTAGTGACTTTTTATTGTTCTTCTAGTCATTGTATCTTGATATTGTCATTGCTCATCGATCACTATTAATAATAGACATCTCAAACTAAGAATGTATCGTGATAGTGTCATTGTTCATCAATTGACTCCTATGCTTTGCAGGTAAATTACACACACATATATATGTTATATATACCTATATAAAATTACACATTAGCATATATACAATTATACATATATATAGCCAAAGGGCCCGCTGTCAAGTTCGCTCGAGGGCCCTTCAAGGCGTAGAACCAGCCCTGCTCAAGGATATTGTGGTAATTTCCATAGCATATATGTTTCTAATAAGCTCTCGCGTGAGTGGTGGTTCGTCGTTCTGTTCTGCTGGAGCCCGTACCAAAGGAGGTGCCTGCTACGTCCATCGACTGCCTGGTGGACTAATCCGAAGGACACCATACGACTACGACCAGGAACACGGGCATTGGAGCGAATGTAGTCGTAGGCTCGTAGCACAGGTACACGTCGAGCATGAGCGGTGCCCTCGTGGACTGCAGGAACCGGCCTGACGGGTTGAAGAAGGCATGGAATGCCGAGAATGACATCATATATATCGCATGACTGCTCAAAACAGAGTTTACCAAAACTAGTCGGTCGTCATAAGAAAAAAGTATTCCTTTCTAGCTGCTCAGCATCTTTTTTTTGGAAAAGATCCTCACTGGCTTTCCAATCCTTATTGTTATTGAGTTTTGTATGGTTTATTGTAATGCCAAAATATATAAATGGAAGTTGGCCCACAACACATCCAAAGATCTCTGAATACTGGTCCATGAAGTTTTTAGCCTCTCTCCATAGCAAAATAACTTACTTTTGTGGAAGTTAACCTTTCTTTAATCCTAAAAGCTGTGCATTAGCGCAGAAATATTTTTCTTGCTCTTCGCTTGTTTGATACCATGCTCCATATATAGAAGGAACGTTGCTACTACTTCATTGATCGGTTTGACAACTGGTGGTAGTGAGATGGCTGTGATACAATTGTTATGTATATACAGTTCTTGGCCGTAACAGATAACTAAATTGTACAGCACTCTGTTACTCTGAGGAACAAGCTAAGACGACCGTTGGAGATGTCCATTCGATTAAGGGCCCGTTCGTTTTGGCTTAATCCTTGCCGGGACTGTTCCTGCTACTGCTTGCCTATATAAAATGCAGCTGTGTTCCTGGCCGGATCAATTCCTAAGCTCTATTCCCAGCTATCCAAACGTGCCCGAAGGGATCACATCCTGGCCGGGCCTGTAGCCCACGCCACAAACCCTGCCTTCGCCGCATACTGCAAGGCCTCTCGCCCAAAAACATTTATTTTCAGCATTAAATTTTCCCTCCTTTATTTACTCATTTTTGCAGTGCGACGCTTCTTCAAGGTCTCGACAGTTGGATGGGCAATGGACACGACTGCATTTGTTGGGAGCTCTTAGCTACTATTAGCTGTGAATTGACTGAGCTAGTAATAAATGCAGGTGTATTTGCATACAATCTGTTCGTTTCGGCTGAATTGGCTTATAAGCTATGGCTAAAAGTACTGCTGGCTGATTTGGTGTGAGAAAGAAACACTATTGAAGCCGTGGATTATAAGCCAGATACGAGCGAATAAGCCGAAACGAACAGGCTGATGGTTGGAATGGCGAAGATCCACTGTCCATCCACGCGCCCCGCCCGCGTCGCCCGCGCCTCTAGGTCCACGTGCCCCACGTCTCGCCCGCCCACACGCCCTTGCTCGCTCCCACCTGTGCCCTCATCCACCTCGCCCATCGCAGATGATGAGGCATGGGAGCCCTGCACCTACGCCCCATCCACCTCGCATCGTTGGTAGAAAGGGGAGGCCTGCGCTACCGCAGTTCCCTACCAGGTAGGCCGTAACCGCCAGCGGCGTTGTGATTCAGGCATTTCCGGACATGTTACAAGCCTATGTTTCAAGTGTTTAAGTTGTTTCAGATGTATGTTTTAAGTGTTTCGTCTGGATGTTTCAAGCGTATGTGTTCATATGTTTCAGATGTTTTCAGACTTACGTTGCAAGTGTTTCATCTGGATGTTACAAAAATAGATATGGATATTGCATATGTTGCTATGGCTATACACGCATATGTTCAAAAGCATGTTACAAGTGTTTTATCTGTTTTCAGACGTATGTTGCAAGTGTTATATTTAGATGTTGCATATGTTGCAAATGGCTATGTTGCAAGTGAATGCTCCGATTTGATGTTTTGGAAATTTGCGTAGAACGAGCCTTAATTAGCTGGATTCCGTCACAATTATTAAATTCTGATCTGTAGCACCAAAACTGAACGTACACGTGTAACTAAGTCGTGTTGCTCAAATGGAAATCTGGAATCAACAGGTGCCTCAAGCCCACAAGCACTCGACAATGAACATTATATTGATGAGTGATTATACGATGGACACAACGGGACGTCACAGCTACATTTGCAGGAACAACGGCCTAGAAGAGCATATATAGGATGGATGATGGATCCTGATGAGTACAATGTCGTAGCATGCACCACAAAATATAACGCTGACACTGAACCACAAAATACTACTGCTACACCTGGCTAACCATCTCCATTACTAGTTCCTAACCTCCAACGACTACGACAGGTGTACTACGTACTACTACTAGCTAGTAGTGGTAGCTAACAATATGCATGCACGCATGCTCATGCTCCAGAAACTAACACCAACTGCTAGGAGTAATTACAAAAGTCAAGCGCTGAATGCACGGGCGCGCGCGGCCTCCATGGGACCATCATCGTTCTTTCCGTGCATGTGCATGCATGCGCGAGCAGTGGCGGTCACTTGCTCACTTGGGCTGCTTGCCGGCCGCCTTCGCCTTCAGGTTGGCGGCAGCGGCGGCGGGAGAGTGGCCGCCGCCGGAACCGGAAGGGCCGCCGGCGCCCTGGTGCTGCTGCTGCTCGTGCTGCTTGAGCTCGGCGAGGAGGGCCTTGTTCTCCTGGTCCAGCTGCTGCGCCTGCCTCCGCAGCCGCTCGTTCTCCTGCATGATGAGCAGGTTCTCCAGGCACAGGCTCGCGTTCACCCGCTCCATCTCTTCCTACCTGCACCTAGCCTCCGATCCTCCTGCGAGCCATGATGCAACAAAGAACAACGAACATAATAAGTAGAGAACAAAGCGAAAACACGAAACGAAGGCTTGAAGCAGGTCGTATTTGCAATGCTAGCTCTACATTTCTATCACTGCATGCACCTTACTGAAGTCTGAAGACTGAAGGGGTTGGCCTTCAAAGGCAGATGGATGGAGAGCAACGGGGACGTAGTTGAGGAAGATGGAGCTCGATCGATCTTGTTCTGCTATGCTTCGCCTTCGCTCGACTATGAGTCCATTTATAGGCGGCCCTGCCTGGAGCGAGCTCCTCAGCTCGTCCTCTCATGGTCATGGAGTGACGCGCGGGAAACCGGCCGGGAGTGAGTCAATGCTAGCTGTGCGTCATCTAGTATCATGCATCATCCTCTGCAGCAGCTGCAGACACTTGGAGTAGCTGGCCGTCAAGGGGAAGGAATTCAAGTGTCCGGGGGAAGAAGGTCCAAAGATACGCACGCCATCATTCTTCTTCCTCCTTGGTCGGTCCTGTCAGTCCATAGACTATGGACTCTGCTGGTACCTTCCTCTCTCCCTCAACACACGCAGATCGAAGCCATGTAACCTAGATATAGTATGTTATTAGAGGAAATGCTGGCAGCCCACTCACGCGGGCACTGTTCACACGTAAATGATGAACATTCTGTTGAAGTCGAACCATGGTTAAAGATGGGCTGATAGATCGGTTAGTAGTGCAATCTGCTCTCTACCTCCATAAAAAATGTAATTCTAGCACAATATCATTGTTTAGTATCATAAGTTCGATCAATTATAAATTAAAATGTATCAATATTTATGATATTAAATAAATATTATTAGATTAATTATGAAATGTATTTTCATAATAAATTATTTTGGAGATGTAAATATGAATAGTATTCAATAGAAATTTAGTTAAATGTGAATCACTTTTACTGTCACGCAACCGATAATTGTATTCTTTTCTGGACTAATACAAAAATATACATACTGACTGCAATCTAAGCCTTGTTTAGTTGGTGAAATTTTTTTAGGAAATGGTACTGTAGCACTTTCGTTGTTATTTGACAATTAGTGTCCAATCATAGTCTAATTAGGCTTAAAAGATTCGTCTCGTGAATTTCGTCTAAACTGTGTAATTAGTTTTATTTTTTATTTATATTTAATGCTTCATGCATACGTCCAAAGATTCGATGTGACTAAAAATCTTAAAAAATTTTAAAAAATTTTGGTAACTAAACAGGCACCCCATTACCAAGTCCGAGGTCGAACGGTCAATGGGCATTAAACCTGGGCACTCGATTACTGGTGCACAGTGCAGTGCAGCTTGTGTACGTACAGTATAGTAGAGTTTCTTGCTTGCTGTCAACTCAAATGTCCCTATTCATCTTGGAACACACTGTACTGTAGGTTGAGCAACCACAACGCATATGAACAGGATAATTTATATGGGCAGCTTTTATGTCAGTAAGCTATAGTTATGGTTGTTACCACAGTGTAGATGGACTTATAGTCTATATGGGTAGCTTTTGTGTTAGAGAAAAAAAAATATTTATTTATTTCTTATGGAAAGTCTATAGGACTATAGATACCTTTAGCTATGGACTGCTCTATGGATTATCTCTATAATGTTTCAGCTAGCTGATAGACGATAATCTAATGTCTATGGACTATATATCTGTAACATTGTGGTTGCTCATCTCTCTTGCTGTCCCAGGCATGAGCGCATGATGACTAATCCTGTTCGTTTGGCTGATAAGTTATGGCTAAAAGTACTGTTGGTTGATTTATTGTGAGAGAAAAATATTGTTCGTTGGCTAAAAAAGTACGGCTTATAAGCCAAACAAATAGGGCGATTAAGTGCATGCTGTCACCGCCAGAGTTCCAAATTTCGGCGCTAAAATTTCACGAATTTTGATCATTTTTAGAATGGCAAGAAAGAAAATTTGAAATTTTGTATTACACTAATACACAGTAGCGTAGGGTTTGGTGCAAGGGTGGTCTATCCGACATTAATGAGCTAAATAATAGAGTGTTCTAAATACAATCTTCACTATAGTATAGAACACATATATTGTAGTTCCAACATATATTGTAGTTCCAAAATTAATCCTAATTCTATGGAGAGATGATACACGTGCAATATAACTCTAGACTTATATTATCTATTGTTTATGTAGTAAATCATATTAATATTCTTCTACTCAATAAATATGTAGTAAATCATACTAATATTTTGTTTAGATCTAAAAAGTTTAGATACAGTCATGCTTGATGTTTAAGCCTCTAAAATCTCGGTGAAATTTCACGATTTTCAATTCTGATCAATAAATTCTGATTTGGGCTGGTTTGGGCTGGCTGATACTGATTTGTTATGAGAGAAAAACACTGTTTGCTGACGGGTTTGGACTAGCTGATACCAAGAAACGAACAGGGTGATTGAGGGCTCGTTTGGTTTAATACTAGAACACGCCACACTAAACTTCTGTCCATGCCGCAAGTGTAGCGGCAGAATTAAACGCCAGACTTTTGGTGTATGATATGGCGCAAAAAATGAACTGACCAGCGCTAGGCAAAGTTGGACACGCCATAGGTCCGGTCATCAAGCAAACACAGGCTAAGCTTCGGCATTGTGAGCTGTGGCAACCTTTGACAGGTTCCGTAACAAACCAAACACGCCCTAAAATTAAAAATCCTGGTCCCTGGTCTTACTACTGCTAATAGTTTGTTGACTTATTAAGACCCTCTTCGAGAGGGCTCGGACTTCTTTTTGGCTTGTTTTTGATTTAGAAACCGTTCTCATGCGTACTCATTCAGCAAGGTTTTTTTATTATATCGATAAGGAAATTATAATAAATACTCCCTCTGTCATGTAATATAATGTATTTCTAAATCTAACTTAAACGAATACTCAAATAACGCATGTACCCATAGATTAAACCCAATAATGGAGTTTCTCCTCAAATTGTGGATTTTTCAACAAACCTTACCAAATCTAAGATATGCACCATATAGAATGTACTACATTTTATTATAAATTTTAAAAGTTATAATACAATGTATTTCAGAACGAAGCAAGTAAAATCGTACCAAAGAGGAAATAAATTTAAATGACAGTTACGGCCTATTTGGTGGAATGTGTGTTTTGTCCGGATGGTCATTTTTTTCAGAAAGGCTAATGATCAACCGATTGATCTCCGGTTGTTATCGACCGTTTTTTGGGCCGTGCGATGCGGAAGCGTCGGCCTCCCCCGCCTGCGATCATGCTGGCGCGTGCGATGCGTCCCTGTGTGTGCGTCCACTCGGCTTCAGTGTCAAGCAAGCAATCATACTGGTGCATGTGTCCCTGCCTGACACACGAACACGAGCACGGAACACCCTGCGACAATCTCTCCTCTCACCTCCTTGTGTGGATTTTGTTTTTTTAATGTCTTAAGAATTTGTGAATAATTTGATATATATTTCTCTAATGTCTGGAATTCATAGAAATAATTTGTAAATCTTTTTGAAAAATTTGGCATATATTTGTGTTATTCTCAAATTACATCACTCTTTCCAATAAATTACACTGAAGAAATCATTGTAAATATAGTAATAAGACTGTGTAAATATAGGTATAAGACAGTATAAGTGTAGGAAAAAAATTTGGTTGATGGGAAAGGCTAAAACAACCTGTTGTTGACTAGATATCTCCTTTTTTTTCTTCGCACGCCATCCCATCAACAGTATATTCTCTAACACCGTGTTTGCTTGGACTTGTTTGGCTTATAAGCCGTATTTTTTTAAGACAACAAACAGTATTTTTCTCTCACGTACTAAATCAACCAACAGTACTTTCAGTCTTTGCTCAGCCTTGGGTTTGGTAGTACTACGGACTTTAGGTTTCGGTGTGGAGTCTTCTTTTGTTGTTGTTGTTGTTGAGGATGTGCAGTGTACACAAAGGATTGTAGAATGAAAAAACTTGAAACTTGCTGATAAGTATCTACTTCTACCGTTTGGTTCCCTTCAAATTCTAGGAATCCGGATAAAAAAATCTTATAATCCTAAAATCCCATGCAAACATACTAGAATTCTGGTATATATGCATAAAATCCAAGAAACATAATAGATTATTTTTATCCAGTATCCGGATTCTAGAATCCCATCCAAACGGGACCAAGTGTGTAGTAAGTGATGCCTGTACTGATATAAGTACATTACTACAGTAAAGTACTTGTGTGAAGAGGAGATGGCCCGGGTGGGGAGCGTGAGTTGGGGCAGTGATTAGGATGTCAGTTTCGGCGATTACCATGGCCATGTCTAGTTTCTACTAAACTTAAAAAATGCACTATGCAAAAAAAAAAAGATTTCTTGTCACATTAAACTTGTGGTATATACATGGAGTACTAAATGTAGACGAAATCAAAAACTAATTGCACAGTTTAGTTGTACTTTATGAGTCGAATCTTTAAAGCATAATTAGTCAATGTTTAGACAATAATTCATAAATACAAACGAAATACTACAGTAACACATTAATTATTTGACCGCTCCCAGATCCGAGAACTAAACAAAGCCCAGATAACACTGGAAGCAGGGGAATGTGAGCTCAGCACTGCCTCAGGGCCTGTCACATACTGTACTACTCTGGTCCAGTCAAAGTATTGGTACGGAGACTGGAGTCGAGGTGCAGCGTGTAGAGTATTAAATATAAATTAAAAATATAATTAAATGTACAGATTACGATTACCTTGCGAGATGAATCTTTTAAGACTAATTAGTCCATAATGTTGACAATGTGGTGCTACCATACACATGTGCTAATGACGGATTAATTAGGCTTAATAAATTCGTCTCGCGGTTTACTGACGGATTCTGTAATTTGTTTTTTTATTAGTATCCGAACACCATATACAACACCCTATATAACACTCGATGTGACACCCTAAAACTTTACTGTCTCGATTTAAACCCGGCCTAATAATATCTGT